CAATATATTTTAAGCATCAGTCACTTTCTTCTGTGTCCTGCAGAATGTCTGTCAGACTCTTTTATGAAGCAGGAACCCCAAAAGACCGTCTCACCTTCTTTTAGCAAGTTCAGCAGTCATTTTTCTGTCAACCTTGCATGTCCAGTTCACATAGCATACCATCAAGCAGACCAGGCAAAAGCAGTTTCTTGCACAAATGGCTAGCAAACTCTTTGATGCCCATCATCCTCTTGAAGTAATTGGTGCTGCCAGAAGCAAACATATCTCACTGTTGGAAAAAGACTAAGTTTTTAAAACATTTTAAATGCCATATTCTGTAGGTCTTTGGAAGGTTGAGGATTATCTAACTAACTGAAATATATCTCTGAATATCTTGGAAACCTAAATAACATGACTACAAATTTGATTATTATAAATGACTATCTATTAACCTATATTTTTAAATTATACTTTACATTTTTAAAAGAACACCACAAACACAATACCTTAAATAAGAGCAGAACTACATATACACGATGTAACAAAATCAACCTTAAATTTGTATCAATAAACCAAGATCTATCTATACCAAGGTAAACTATTCGTTTCTATATCATATCCCCTATTTAAATGAAAGCAAATACTTATAAATAATCATTTTGGTAATTTGGGCATAGTTTTCTCCAAAATGCTCCCTGCTGTTTGTTAGGCAAAGTATTTTTAGGGTTTACAGAGACCTTTCAGGAGGGTCTTGTTCCATTAAACCACATTAGTCTGGAAGGAATTCACAGGTTCTCATCTTCTATGTAAACAAAAGCAGAACCTCTTCCAAAGCAACATATCCTTATACCCAAATTTTGAAGTCAAGATACCTTTATGTTGGTTTGACTTAGCAGACCCTGGAATCAAATGTCTCTCTGCTGTCAAAAAATTCAAAGAAAACACAATAATATACATAATCCAAACTCTCTGTGTATATGTAATATTTACATGACTTATTTTTCTTTACACTTTTAATTTATGACTGTATTCTTTTATATTACTTTTACTGTTTTTTAAAGACTTTGTTTTATTTTTAAACCTATTTCTTTGTATATTTTTCTATACTTTTTTTCTACTGTCTCCCAAGCCTCCCTACATTTATCCAACACTGTGACCCATTTAGAGATCTCTTTTATCTGAATCTACCTTTATTGCATATCTGTAATCATTTTTGACCAGGAACATTTTGTTTTGCTTTTTAAAATGTTAAACAAGTATAGCTTGGACCAACTCAGTGGCCTTGCCTGTTTTCTCCGCCCAGTCCAACATGGTGAAGGCATGTTCACTGACTCTGTGAGCCGTGTTTATTCTCTTTGTGAGCCATGTTTGCCACCTCAGCTCCAGGGACACAGTGAGTCTATGTTGTCATTAAACGATTTGTAACATGCTGCTCACAGACCCTATTTAAATGTGGGACCTCCCAGAAGAGCCAGAGTGCTGCCAGTATGAACCAGGGAGCCATCTCTCAAAGAAGCCATGCCGGTTTTTGCTGCTAATGCTGAGTCAGAAAGCCTTCTGTTAATGGAGCCATGCCTCTGCTTACCATCAGCAAACAGAGCCTATCTGAAAAAAAAAATGCAGCTATAAGAAGCCACGCTTAACTCTGTTGTTCTGTGTCTAGACTTCCTTCCCAAGCTCTCTCAGTTTTTATGTGGATGTAGTTGCCCCACATTGGTGCACCAATTTGTAGAAGGAGGCTGCTCTCTCATTCCTGGCTACCCAGACCTTAATAACCACAGAGAAACTATATTAATTATAACATCGTTGGGCCGATAGCGCAAGTGTATTTCTAGATAGTTCTTATATCTTAAACTAACCCATTTTTATTACTTTATATTTTACCACAAGGCTCATGGTTTGTTACCTCTTGCTTCTTGGGCAGCTACATGGTGTCTGCCTCCTTCAGCAACTACATGGCATCTTTCTCTTTTGGCAGCTATATGGTGTCTCTCTCCTTGACTCCACCTACTCTCTCCCTCTATCTCTTCCAGCCTGGCTATATTCTGCCCTGTTATAGGCCAAAGCAGCTTTATTCATTAAACAGTAAAAGCAACACATACACAGAAGGACATCCCCATTGCCACCACAATATGCCCTATTGTGGATGCCAGGAGAGAGTCTGATGATGGGACCTAGGCAAGTTACTAAGTCTTAGTCCTCAGGCTCTGGATCTGTACATAAGAAAGTCATGGGTCTCCCTAGTACTTTCAACCAGGCTAGTCAGGTTTTTATCACTGTAGCAAAATGCTTAAAATAGTCCATGTAGGGAGAAGAAAGGCTTGTATTGGTTTAGTTGTGAAGGGACTGTGGAGATCTCTCAGTCAGCAAAGTGCACATTTTATGAAAGCACACAGACCTGAATTTGATACCCAGAATACACAGTTTACATGCTTAGACTCCTTTGGGCTCACTGGCCAGCCAGTTCAGCATAATTGGAGAGTTCCAGACCATGTAGAGACCTTCTCTTAAAGATGGGTGTTTCCAGAGAAACAACATCTGTGGTTGATCTCTGACCTCCACATTATACTCACACACACGCACACATACACACACATACACACACACACACGAGGGGGGGTGCAGGCATAGGGGCTGGGGCTGGGAGCTCAATCCACGGTCAGAGACCTAGGGCAATGCAGCATATTATAGTAGATGCATGTGAAGAAGTAGGGCCCCTCATTCCATAGCCAGGAGAGAAGAGAGAGAGAGAAAGAGAGAGAGAGAGAGAGAGAGAGAGAGAGAAACTATAACGCCACTGTTCCCTTTTAGAACATTTATACTGTGACCTGAGATGTCCCCCCTAAACCCCACCTCCCAGCAGCACTGTGCTGGGGACAAAGCTTTTTCTACACAGGACTTTCCAGGGCACACTATATCCTAACTTTAAGAACAGAACTAAATGTGCTGGCACATAGTAGCCATCCGTACAGTGTCTGGCATCCTGGAAGCTCATGATTTAACTATTAAAACTGTTACTGCTTTGAGACAGGGTCTTTTTAAATTCATTTTTATTAGCTCTACATTTTTCTCTGTTCCCCTCCCTGCCTCTCCCCCCTTTCAATTCTCCCCCAAGGTCCAGGTCTTCTGTAGCCCCGGTGGTATCTAAATCACAATATAGCTGAGGATGACTTGAACTCCGGGTCCCCATCCCTCTACCTCCCAAGTGCTAGAGTTACAAGTATGCACCACTACAACCAATGTATTCAGTGCTGGGGTGGGACCCAGGACATCATGGCTGTTAGGCTTCTATCAGCAGTGATATATCCCTAGCCTTGTTATCATTATTATTATGATTGTTTAACTGTAGTGAATACTCAGCTTTTAAAAAGAAATCACGTGATTACCAGGGATGCCCTACTTTGGCAGCTCCTGTCTAATTGGACAAGACACCTGTCCTGTACTCCTTAAGATGAGTTCCATAAGCAGCCAGGTGGTGGTGGTCCACACCTTTAATCCCAGCACTCAGGAGGCAGAGGCAGGCGGATCTCTGTGAGTTCGTGACCAGCCTGGTCAACAAGAGCTAGTTCCAGGACAGGCTCCAAAAGTTACAAAGAACCCCTGTCCTGAAAAAAAAAAAAAAAAAAAAAAAAAAAAAAAACAGATAACAAACAAACAAGAAGAGTTCTACGGTATTTTCGAAAAGCTCCTCTGTATGTGTGGTGAGTACACACGTCCGTGTGCGCACATATGTGTGTTGTATGCACACGTGTGGGGAAGAGGAAGGTAGTATCAAATGTCTTCCTCAACTACTTCTCCATATTAACCTTTGAGTCAGGAGCTTTCTCAGAACCTGGATTAGGTTAGGCCAGTTGGGCGGTAAGTTTCAGAGGTCCTCCTTTTCTGTCTCCCAGTACTGGTATCATGGGCCTGTGTTACCACACCTGGCTTTTGACATGTGTTCTGGGGAACCTTCACTCAGGTCCTTGTGATTGCATGGCGTGCGCTTTGCCCACAGAGCCACCTCCCAACCCCTCAGGAAACTTTCTGTTCCCACCATATCTGTCGCCAACAACCAGCTCTTTGATGTCAACTTATCCTGTAGGCAAGCTGCTTCCTGGAGAACGAGGCTATCCTGTGCACTGTTAGTGCCTCTACCTGCTATTTAAACTTAGCGTACCCCTAAAATTGGGGTCTCTAAAATATGGACCAGGATGACTCTCTTTGGGATTTTCTCTATATTCAGAGAATTCTGGGATTTAATGAACTCTTGGTTGGGAGCCATCTCTCTATGGCCACTTACTAGGTAATGACAGAGATAACAGCTGGATATGCGGTATGTGGTCCTAGTATGAGACAGATGGTTTGGACAACAAAGGGAAGAAGTACCCTTTTGTCTAGTATAATGTAGGACTTGATTTAACAAATACACATTGTCATTGGGAAGCTGGCTCAGTCAGTAAAGCACTTGCCATGCAAGGATGAGGACCTCTGAGTTTGATGCTCAGAACCCACATAGCAAAGACGTGTGCCGGGGCAGGAAGGATGGTTAAGAGATGCACTGCTCTTACAGAAGTCTTGGATTTAGCTCCCAACACCTCCATAGCAGCTCACAACCACCTGCAACTCCAGCTCCAGGGAAATCCAATGCTCTTTTCTGGAGTCCGAGGGTACTGCATGCACAAATGTAAATACATCGTGCACGCACACACACTCAGAAGGGAGGAGACTTTGATTTTAATAGCTCTTTATTCGTGGATATAGCAACTAAAATAGCTGTCAGAACAATTTGTCAAAAATGAAGCAGTGTCTGTCACATTCCCCACAGGTTCTGTGTGACCTCCATGCAATCGCCCAAAAGAACTTCCAGGCTGCAGCGAATCTGGGAGTTCTTATAGCCCGAGCCATCTTCTAGCTCAGGGGACAAGAACCCTTTCTGTGGGAGGAGTTAGGGAAAGCTATACACTCAGATTTGGGCTCACAGCAATGGCTAGACTGCAGGCCTCACATGCTAACCCCACCTTTCGGGGCCTGTGTTGCAGGGATCATGTACCGGAAGTCGTGCGCATCGTCAGCAGCCTGTCTCATCGCCTCGGCTGGGTACCAGTCCTTCTGCTCCCCTGGGAAACTGAACTCCGTGTGTATCAGCTGCTGCAACACCCCTCTTTGCAATGGGCCGAGGCCCAAGAAAAGAGGTAGTTCTGCCTCGGCCATGAGGCCAGGGCTTCTCACCACCGCCCTCCTCTTCAACTTAGCCCTCTGCTTGGCGCACTGCTGAAGCTAAAGGAGATGCCAACCCCTGCTGCATCATCTGTCAGGCCCGCACTCTCTCACCTCCCTGAGTCTCTGCTGGGTGTCCTTCTATTCTGGGTAGACAAAAAGATCTTTTTGTTCCCTTCAAGTAATGCAAGATTGCCATGCACAAATACTTTGTAAGCTCTGAACCAATTCAGTCTGGATTTCCGTGGGTAGTTGAAGAAAACGCATGGAGCAGAAAGCCCAGCTCTTCCCATCCCAGTCCATGTAACCACGGCCAAGGCCATCCTGGAAGAATCAGCCCTTAGAAGTCATTGAGATATGCATCTGCCCTTCCCAAAGCCTGGAGCTTCCATTCTGTCCCTAATGGAGTCACAGTCTATTCGGGGACTGCTGCGTGAAGGTAACTTTGCTTTTGTGGGAGGGAAGAGTCAGTTTCTGCTCAAGGCTTCTGAACTTGACGTTCACACTCCCTGCTCCTGGATACCATTTTCCGTGGTGGAATCAGCTGTCTGTGATGACTCAGGACTCAAGAGCTGGGGCTTAGCTTCTCCAGGCCTGGCATCGGTCTGAAAAGTGCTCAGGAACACCTTGTTCGTTCTCCTGGAGGAAGAGTTCCGCCGGGAGGCTAGGAAGATGAGGGGGCTGCGGGCTGAGCCGGTGCTGTCTTTGGTGGAGCTGAAGTGGGCACACAGGCGTTTCTCATGGTTGGCATGCTGCAGAGTCAGCCGGCAGCAGAGGACCTGCCAAAACACCTTCCGGAACTGCTGAGAGGACACGTTGTACAGGAGAGGGTTGACGACAGAGCTGAGGTAGAAGAACGTGTCAGAGAAGGGGAGAAGGATCATGTATGCCTTGAAGTATGACTTGGTCCAGTCATGTTTGGGTTTTGCCGCAGCCATGATCCGCCGAACCTGATTTGGCATCCAACACACAGCCAGTGTCACCACGATCAGTCCTGGGCAGGCAAGAACAGGAGAGAAAAAGAAATGGGGGAGAAAAACAGCATGAGAACAAAAATAAATAAATAAAAACCCATAAAATATTCAAGCCCTTGGTTCTGTTGCTTACTGGCCAGGAAACGGTACCAATTTTTCACTGCTGTGCTTGACGGCTTCTTTTTGCTACCGGCAAAGGAGAATTTAATGCTGCTTCAAGCTCAGGGGACTTGGCTATGTTAAAGAGCGTTAAATGCTTTCAACAGTGTATTTATACCTGTGGGTGCCCGTTAATTTTCAAAATGTTTTCATTGTTGCGCGTGTATCCAGAAAATATCTCATGTTGGCCATAAATCTGGTTTTGTCTTTTTGTTTCTAGATAGGACCATAAGCTATAGCCATATTAGATGAAATGGTATTTGTTTTGTAAACAATGACAGGACTAAGAAGACCCAGTGACATTTTTAAGTCAAATGGAAGTTGTTTCTCCTTGGTTCAACAAATATATTTTATGACAATGATTTAGGATCCAAGTTCAGGAGAAGCAAAATCAGAGACAGATTATTATACAGAAGTACCACTCAGGTCCCCTCCTTGTGCATGAGGCACTGGCTATCTGGACACTCATCTGAATGTCCCCACTCTTGCATTCTAGTTACATGATCACATCCACCTCTACAGCGCTAACAAACTGAAATTGCAAAACAAGACATATATATACACATATATGTATATGTGTAGATTAAATAACACACATATAGGTATGTCTCAAAAGGTATATGTACCTCTAACCATGATGCTTTTATCTCTGCTAATTTTAAAACATTTTCAGAAGCAATGCCCCTTCTACCTTCACATGGGAAAACAAATTATCCCCAAACACCCAAATCTCTGAAGCTCATTTTGTGTACAGACCCTCGGCCTTTGTGGCACCGAGCTGCAGCGTGGATGGCTAGGAATGATCAGGTCCTACGGAAGAGGGAGGTACCAGCCAGCCCACCCCCTTTCAGACACTCATTTGAATGTCCCATGCTTTCATTTCAGAGCCACCTGGAACTACAAGATGATGAAACTACACCAGGCGCGGCGGGGGGGGGACAAGAAAAATAAGCCTGGGAATCTTTAGGGCTTTTTCTTTTCTCAAGAAGCTGAGCACCCAGAACAAAAGTTCCCAGGAAAGGGACAAATATCTTAAAGCAGAATTTGGTGGGACTGGAGAGATGGTTCAACAGTTAAGACCTAAGTTCTGTTTGCGATACACACATCAGGCAGAGAGCAGTGGTCCACCACTCTATTTGCAGGGGGGTTCTGACATTTTCTGGTCACCTCAGCACCTGGAGTCCTATGCAAATTTTTTTAATTTTGCATTTTACAAGTAGTTCTTCCCACTCTGACCCCAATTCTCTAGGAAATTCAGAGAAGTAACAATTGGTAGCCACTGTTTCTTGCCCAGAGTACAAGGTTCATAGTTCTTTAGTTAATGGCCCAGGGCAAGCACACATGTTCATGAATGCAGGGTTAGCCCTGCCCTAGTATCCTTTGACTGGTGGGGGAGGAGCCCTTGAGGGTACATAACTCAGCTTCTCCCAAAGACAGAAGCTTCAAACAAAGCCATCTGTCAGCAGGGAGAGCCTGGGAAACTCAGCTCCTTTGTGAATTTCCAAGGATTCCTTCTGTCGATCTTCAGCCAGGGCTTTGAGATAAAAACCAATCTGCTTGCTTCTTTGCTTTGAATTTGTTTCTGGGAGAACAGTCAGTAAATCTAAGAATAAAACAGGCAGCGCAACATATTGATCTGATGAAAAGGCTAAATAAATAAATAAATACAATCTCAAGTCCAGAGCTGATTCCAAATCACCTTGTTACCACTGCTGGATAAAAGCAACAAAAATAGACACTTTATGAATTAAAAAAATAAATAAATAAATAAAAACACCTGCACAGGAACCCGGGACTTTAAGGGGCTCCCAGCCACCAGTGCCGGACTTGCTCTGAAGTTTGATAGTTCCGAGTGACTGGCTCAGTATTGATTATGAGGGAGAACAGATGCCTGGATGGATACATTTCCGTTAAGCTTCACGCCCCCCCCCCCCCGTTACTGATTTTTGCAGAGCAAGTCCAGCCATTGTATGAGGACATATTTGTTAGAATATGTCAATTGAGTGCACAGCTTTCTGTGCAGGGTGTGCGACCCTGTGGAGGCTGCTCTCTGAGAGTCTGGAACACTGACTAGAAGCTCCTTGTACCTCCCACAGGCTGAACATGGAAGAGCTTTGAGAGGCAACCAACAAATGTGATGAGAAAAGGCAGGTTGGAGAGAAAGAGGAGGGACATTAGGATGGAGGGGAGAGATCTGGGGAAGAAGGGGAAAGGTGGGGGAGGAGGACAAGAAGGGTCCTGAATGTCCTGCATTGCACCGTCTTCTGCTGTCTTCATCACCTGCTTACACATCCTTCCATTAGCTCCTTGCGTGCACTCGCTCAACCCCAATCATCCTGCATCCCACTGAAAGAAAGAGATTTTAGTTTCAAAAAAAAAAGGAATGGAAGAAGAGAAGAAAGAGGAAGAGCAGGGGGAGGAAACCCAGTCTCCAGGTAGGAGAAAAGGGACCAGACTATGGCCCGAAGCTTGCTTTGTAGTCTCAGCCAAGATGACATCCTGGCTGTGAAATTGAAATGAGATAGCACATGGCAGGTGGGTGCATCTGAGTGAGTGGCAGCAAATGGGAGAAAAGCTCAAATTCCTCATTGATAAGGAGCCCATAAGGAAGCTAGGCTTTCTGGCTGTAGAAGTTGGTCGGCAGGTCAGTGAGTTCAGACCTGGAAGAGGAGAGACAGGGTGTGAATAGAAATGGGTGGATTCTAATTGGTACGCACAAGCAGGCCTAGACACATAACCAGGAGTTGAAAATTAGCTTTCTCTATTCCAGTCTCTGTGCTGGGCACTTACCTCCCACATGGGTTTCTGTCTCCAACAACCCAGAGAGGACCTTCACTTAACAAATGAGAGGCCTACCCGTCTCCCAAACCTGTGATGCAGAATCCCTTTTCCTCTCAAGATGCAGTAGTATAAATTTCTCCTGTTTTCAGTTCGGTAAGGAAACACAGGCAAGATGGCTATAGAGATGACTGAGCTGTGAAAGGGCCTGCCTCCCAAGAGTTCAGGTCTCTGGTCCCCATGTGGCATGACAAGCCCACCTGTGATGCCAGCCGTGGAATGTGGAGACTAGGGATTCCCAGGGCAACATGGCTAGTAAGACTAGCCATATTGGTAAGCTCTGGGCTTGACTGAGAGGCTTTGCCTCTGTGAATAAGGTGGAAGAGCTAATTAGCAAGGATCAACAACATGGCATCAACAATGATGCATATGTGTGTACAAGGCCTCCACTTGCACACACATATGCCCCCACACAGGTGTCAACATACATATGCAAACACGCATGCATGTACATGCACATACCACACAAAGAGAGAGACATGAAAATGGAAGAAAAAAGTGGCAAAAAAGTCGTCATTAACTGTGGCCCCTATATGTTCTCACTCTACCCACGGAAAGGACAAGCCATACATTTAAATGTTTTCAATCACACTAAAAATAAAAAAGATGACAACAGTGACAATTTTTACAATGCGGCCTAACTCCACACACGTGTAGCTCGATTTCTCATGCAAGTGAAATATGTAATCATTGTGAAAATATCGTCACTGAGATGTTTTAATTCTTCACTCACCCCTGCCTCATGCTAAATCCCCCAAGTGCCCCTTCCCCAGACATGTACACAGGCTGCATTTGCGACATCACCAAGCATTGCTGAATCTGAATTGGATTTCTGAATGTGTATCCCTGACTTTTCACCAGTCCCACACTAGAAACCCTTCTGTAAAAGTGCTGGACAAATTATTCAAAATCTACATTGTTCTGAAAGTGCAAAAATGTCTTCTGCATGTCTCACTCATCCCAAGCTCTGACTCTCAGGAACACACAAATCATGCCAACTACCTGGTGGAGCTGTTGGCATATCCTTCTCCCGCCTCAACCAGACGTGAGAAAAATGTTTGCCACTCTGTGTTTAGAAAGATGATTTTGTTCTATGAAAATGGAGTGCTGGGTATACGAGGGGACACCAATGGCAGTCTGAGACATAACCACAGGCAGTGTGAGAGTTGAGTTAGCCTTTCTAGAACAGGAAGCCAACCATCCCCTTTGTGCAAAATTTGTCATTTCACAATGACTGCTAATTGTTCACTTTTACATTGAAAAAAAATTCGTCCTTTTCCATGATACACTGTTGGGAACAAATATCATACCTACCACATCCAGAAGTAACATTCTCTTTCAGCTGTCTGCAATTGGCTTAACTCCAGTCCCAACTTCTCTATAGCTAACACAATGCTTTAAAGTCTTATTCATGGCTTAATGGAGTGCATTAAAGATTTGACTAAATTTATGTTTGGCTGCAATCAATTTAGACTTGTGTATTACATTTGGGGAGAGAAATCTATAATGCTTTGGTCTGTGTGCTGCAGCATGGAGCCCACATTTAAACAGTGTGAGTGTGAACTTGAATGAAGATTGGCGAACTGAGCCCTCTCACGTAGAGCAGGTAAACTGTCTTAACTGGATTATTGATAGGTCGGTATTATACCCCAGACAGCACTGCACTGTGGACTCAGAAATGCCTTCATATCTTATCTGCTTCTCCACATAAAGCCGTCTGCTTTGGCTCCTCCATCACAACTGTAAAGTGACAAGAGCCATTAGGCAATAACGCACACACACATCCTTGGAAGAATAATGTTTACAAAACAGGTGCAGGGCTGCAGAAATGGCTCAGTGGGTAAGGGGCTTGCCACACGAGTGTGGGAACTAGGGTTGTTCTCCAGAACCCACGTAAAGCTAGATGCCATAATGTGTGCCGCAGGAGGTGGAGACAGCCGAACCCCTGGGACCTCCTAGGCCAGGTAGCTTGCTGTATGCAGCAGTGAACTAGAGAAGCCATCTCAAAAACAAGGTGAAAAGCAAGGACCCAGGCATCCGAGGCTGTCCTCTAACCTCCACACGCAGTGTGCTTCCTGGCATTTGCACAGCCACACTGGCACACGTGAGCATTGT